GCAGGTCCTGGAGCCAGTCTCACTCCCAGCACCACGAGCACCATGATAGTGTCTCAGGCCAATCGCAGACCTGGCATCTGCAGTGACAGAACCTGGCCCAGTGGCAGTTTTAGACTCCATGGGTGTACCATGGTGCACAGTTTTCTTAGGGGGTTGGATAGGGTCTACCCCCGGGTGCATGAGCCTCTTGGGACCTAAATCTGGTTCTCACATGAGTCATAGGTCCCCCCCCCCCCTTTGAGCTGTTGGCAACATGCTTCCTTCTGCTCCTTTCCTGGAAGGTGTCCTTCCTGGTGGCCATTACTTTGGCCAGGCGAATGTCGGAACTGAGAGCACTATGGGTGGACCCTCATTTATGGTTTTAGCCTTGGCGTCACCGAAGTGGAATGCACATGAGCAAGCATTCAAAGAAGAAAAAATGGTTATTTACTTTTGTAGCTGTTGTTCCTCGAGGTGTGTTGCTCACGCCCATTCCACATCCCACCCGCCTCCCCTGCTTCAGAGCGTTCCGGCAAGAAGGAACTGAGGAGATGAAGGGTGCAGCAGGGATATAAATGTGCTGAGATAGCAGCACCACTCCAGAGGGCTCCCCTGCTGGCTGGACGGGTACTGCTGGCTAAGGGAAAACTCTCCAACAATCAGAGCACATAGCGCATGCATACCTAAGTGGAATGGACATGAGCAATCAATTGAAGAACAACAGTTATGAAAGTAAGTACCTGTTTTTTCTTGACAAATACATGCTGATTGCATCTTGTAACCCTGTTACATTCTAGGTCCTCACAGGTAGACAGTTTTATAATTTCTGCTCTTTCCAAGTCTGAATGTTAACCTGACTAGTCTCTGAATTCCTGAGTCATCTTGGTTCCCCATTATAAAGATAGTTGCTGTGTTTACCCAATCCATGGGGGACAACACCCATCCTTCAGAGGACCTCAAAGTTACTTGCAAACAATTCTGAGATTACTTCAGCTTTCCATTCAGCATCTTGGGTGGTCCAAAGGGGGATCAGTAACATCCTTCTTCTCTCCTTTGGCCCCTGGCAGCTGGAAGGAAAGCACCACATCCACCGCACAGAACTGAGCGCCAACCACGTGCTGCTGTACATGGAGCAGGTGAGCAGCCACCCAGGGCTGGAATGGGGTGGGAAGAGTCACCCCCGACAAACCTTTGATAGAGGCACTGAAGGGGGGGAACGGCCAGGCCATGGATTAACAAACCCAAGTGGTCCCCGCAACTGCTGCTGCCCCACCATCCCTCAGCATTTCTGTGCTGCACTTCCTGCAACTTCCCCCAACATAAAGAGCCAGGGCCCTGTTCTCCCCACAGCCCTGGGTTCTTCCTCCTCTCTCAGGTCAATCCCTGCCAGGCCCTGCAGCTTGGCGGGAGGGGTGGGGAAGGGGCAGGCTGGACTTGCAGGGTAAGGGATGGAGAAATGGAGAAGAGAGGGGAGAGGTGCCTAAGAGTTGACTTTGAGCCTCATCTGTTTCTCCCCACCTCAGGTGAGCAACGTGACTCAGAGCTTCTCCTTCGCAGTGGAGCAGGACTTCCCTGTGCAGAGTCTGAAGCCGGCGCTGGTGAAAGTCTACGATTACTACGAGACGGGTGTGTGGGGGCAGGGCTGGGGGGACGTCAGCCCCATGGGCCTGTCACAGGGAGGGAACAGTCACATTCAGTACCACAATCAGCCTGCTGGCATATGGGACAGAGGATCTCCCCTCTCCCCAGTGAGCATGTGGGGCGCACAGGGATTATGGGCAAGGGCGCATCCTCCTCTGGCCTCATGCTCGCACCCTGGCAGTGGGCGAGGTCCCAGAGCCCTCCCGCACAGCACAGAGAAGGTGCCAGCCCAGGTACATGAGAGCCAAAGGGAACTGGGAGGATCCCGGGTTCAGATCCTGCCCTGGGCTCCCAGCTCTGCGTGTGACCTGAGGCAGGCACACTTGCTCCTCAGCCTCCCCAGGTAGGAAAGCAGGTGACAAACCAGAGCCTGCTGGCAGCCCTGCTGGCGTGCGTCAGACAAGACCTGCAAAGGGCCAGGGGACACCTGGCACAGACCTGCTGGAGATGCTGCTGCGCTGCAGCCTTCCTCCCACGGAGCCCAGCTGAGGCTCGCCCAGTGCCTCGGAGACAGGGCCCCTCCCCTGAGATCTCCGGTGCGGTGCCAGCTCTCTGCCGCAGGGCTGGGGGCGAGCGAGGAGCCCTGGCTGGGTCTCAGCCCTGACCACATCTCCCGTTCCTTGTGTCTTCCAGATGAATTTGCCATCGCGGAGTACGGCGCCCCCTGCAGCAAAGGTAGCGCATGAAGCGCTGTTTCCTCCCTTGTGCTGCTCATCGCCAGGCAGCGCGGCCCCGTGCAGCCGGAGCCGGCAGCTTCCCCCTCAGCCCCCGCTTGACACACCTGCCTTCTTCCCCACTGGAGCTGCCCTGGAGCCGCGTCATTGCGGTGCTTTGAGAGAGGCTCTTCCCAGGCCGGGCGAGGGCTCCAGCCCAGGCAGAGCTGGCAGGTCCCTGCCATCGCACGGGGCTGCTGCTTTGTGGCGTTTTCAGGGACAGGCTGCCTGGTCGGATCGAATAGGAACCTGAGGCCACAGCCTGCCCTAAAAGCTTCGATCCTTCCCCCTTCCCCAGCAGCTGGGGCTGAGCTGCCTGCTGCTGGCACAGACCAGAGGCGCAGGAAAGGGAGAGTCAGGGAGCAAATGGAAGAACCAAAGGGTGGGAGAGCGAGAGGGGAGGGTCGGGAGGGTCCCCCCCAGCAGGACTCAGCGGGGGCTCCCCAAGGCCTAAGCTGGGCTGGGGAACCATTTTTGGGTCGGGGACCATTGACCCACAGAAAAATCAGTCAGGGGCTGCACACAGGTAAGAAACAACCCCTCCCCCCCACCAGCATGAGCTCCCCAATGGTGGGGGGAGCCCTGAGTCTCAGGGGCCAGATCCAGGCAAGCCGAGAGCTACTTCTGTCCCCTGGGCCTTCGGTTCCCCACCCCTGGTCTGAGCCTTTCCCAGCCCTTGTTCTGCAGGTCTGAGGGCCCAGGGAAGGCTCTCAGCATGCAGCGCTTGCTCTGGGCTCTGTTCCCCTGGTGCTGACGCAAAGGCAACTGCTCAGTCCCAATGCTGGGAGCCCCCTTCACTCCCCTGGGCACTGCTGGTTCTTGGATAAGGTGGTTCGATCCATCCCGCGCTGGGTCCCACTGGAACAAAGGGGCGAGACGAGCCAGCACTTCGCTCCCAAAGCAAGGGTCGGAGCTGAGCCTCAGCATGTCTATGGCACCCAGCATCCAAGGGCCCCACGTCCCTCCCAGCTGGGCGTCTCCCAGCCACGTGGCCGCTCTGCAGAGTCGGGCACAGCAGGGAGTGGTTCCCGCTACCCCCTAGGCTCACACAGCCCGCGCTGGATCCTGTGCTGCCTCTCCCCAGGTGGGAACACTCCGTGAGGGAGCCCTGCCCCTGAGGGGAGAGGTCAGGGCCATGGGATCTCTGGCCTGCAGCTCTGGCAGCACCGGGCTCCGTTCCCGGCACTGGGTGTGGTGCTGGCACTGTGCCCAGCCTGGGGGAGGAGCAGCAATTCTCCTCTCTAGCCCCTCTCCCCCATCCACTCCCTCTCCTTTTCCCTCACAGCGGGAGTCGAGCAGAGCAACGTGTGAGGGATGGAGCCGTGTTCCGAGCCTCCGGCATCCCCCCGGCTTGTGCCCTGCGCAGGCTGAGGTGGTTGGATGGGTCGACAGAGAGGAAACAGCAGCCAGGAAAGGGAAACGAGTCTCACAAATAAATGAATTTATCAACCTGACCCATGGCTCCTGGCCTGTCTGTCCCCACTCCCCTCATCCCTGTTCAGCCCCAGATCACAGCCTTACACACAGGACCTCTCAGACCAACCCACACGTGTCCGTCCAGCGAGGGCTCTGCCCTGCAGCGCAGTCGGGGGAAATATCTGCTCCTCACCATTGTGTCTGGTAGCCTGCGTCATTTCCAGAGCAGCTCCCCGAGTGCGGGGTTGTTCCTCGCTTGTCACAAGGACTGGGGGAGAGTAGATGTGCTCTGCCCGGGCGGGATGGAAACAGAAATACTCAGCTTGTGCCAGGAGCCTGGTGCTGCTAACATGGCTCAAGTGGTGAAGGCTGAGGGCTTGGAAAGTTCCATCCCTGCTGCTTCCATGAAGTGCCAACTGCCCGCAGTGTGTATCATTGTAACAAGGGGTTTCTCCTGGGACTGACCGGCATGTTCCAGGGATTTATATACTACTTGCCTTAAGTGCCTCAGCTAGTGGGACTTCCTGCTCACTTCCCTTTGGCAAACTACAGTCTGGGAGCCCTATGCTCTCTAGGAAATATTTTCTGAAATGCTCTTTTCTCACTTTCACTCCATTTGCTACTAATTTTAGCAGTTTGAGTTCCCTAAAGCATTTCCCTGCTTCGATATTTGCCTCTTTACATGGCATGGTCATTCCTAACATGCATTTAAGTTATTTGTTTAGCCAAACTTTGCATATTTCGTTCTTTCAAAAATCTCTTCAGTTGCTTTGTCCAACCCTTCCTGTGTCTCTGGTCCAGGAGTGTTCTCTCTGAGCAAAGATGGAGGAGCAGAGAGACACTCAAGTCTTTAATAGTGCTGCAGGATGAGAGGATCTGGGGTCGGCCTCTACTGCACATTGGAGAGGGTCCAGCGGAGGGCAACCAAAATGATTCAGAGGCTGGAGCACATGACTTACACGGGAAGGCTGGGGGGGGGTTGGATTTGTTTAGTCTGCAGAAGCGAAGAGTGAGGGGGGATTTGATAGCAGCCTTCAACTTCCTGAAGGGAGGTTCCAAAGAGGATGGTGACAGACGCCAGAACAAGGAGCAATGGTCTCAAGTTATAGCGGGATACACCTAAGTTGGTTATTAGGAAAAACTGTTTCCCTAGGAGAGTGGTGAAGCACTGGAATAGCTTCTCTTACTCCTTGTGAGGAGCAGGAGAACCAATGCTGCTGGGGGCATTCTCTGAGGGTATGTCTACACTGCATTCCTCTTTTGAGAGAGGAATGCAAATGCAGCCAAGTGAAATTGCAAATGAAGCGCGGATTTGAATTTCCTGCACTTCATTTGCATAAATACTGTAGAGTCTCGAGTATAACGCACACTTTTTTTCCGTTTTTGTTAGCATCGAAGTTGGGGTGCGCATTATCTATAAGAGGGTTTTTTTTAAGTTTTAAACTCACCCTCGGCAGGCACAAGCTGGGCGGGGTTGGGGGGGCAGGCCTGAGTTGGGCAGGGAGAGGGGGCGCACGGGCAGTTGGGCAGGGGAGGCCCCCCCGGTAGGCGCCAGCTCGGCGTGCAGGCATCTGGGCAAGGGGCAGGTTTCCTTCCCGTTCCTTCCCTCCCGTTCTCCTGTATAATGGATGCACATTAGACATAGGAGTTTGGGTTTAGACTCTTAAAATCATGATAAACTCAGTGTGCGTGCTATACATAGGTGCGCATTATACTCGAGATTTTATGGTACCTTATTTTGAGATGAAAAATGCTGTGCAGATGTGGTTATTTTGAAATAAACCCCTTCTTTCAAAATAATCATTAAACCTCATTTTTTTCTTACAAAGAGGCATCTCATCTAAGATAAAGATTAAAACCTGACACCCCGGGTTAAAAACGCAAGCCCTAAATAACAACTTAACTTATAAAAGACAACCTGTAAATTAAGAGAGATTTTCCCCTAAACCCAGGAATTTCTTAATTTTTGCCAATATGAAAAAACACTGTAGTAATATGAGTTTTATAGCGAAATAAAAATTGCCAGAGTATAATATGAAAATACTCTCAAAAATACACTAGGACTATGTCTACACTCGCGGCTTCTTGCACGAGTAATATGCAAATGAGGCTAAGCGTGGAATATCGCCAAGCCTCATTTGCATACCCAATGAGCCACCATTTTTTTCAGAAGAGGCTCTTGCGCAAGAAGGAGCGTCTACACTGCCTTCTTGTGCAAGAAAAGTCCTCTTGTGCAATGCCGTTCTTCCTGAAAAGTAATAGGCGTAGACGTTCCTTCTTGTGCAAAGGAGCCACGAGTGTAGACATAGCCTAGCTTTCTTTTTAAGGTTTTGCCTAAAGGAAAACATCTGCAAATAATTGTACAAAATACACACAGGCAAACTTAAAAGGAAATTTATACAAAATATGAAAAACAGTTTATATAAAAATGCAATCCAAGGAAAGTTTTAAAAAACAGGTTTCGTTTTGTACCATCATGGAGATTTTAATTTAAGCTTTGTAAAGTGCCAATATCATATACCCTCCATTTAGAATTAAAGTTTAAAAAAACAAAATCTCTGGAATAAGGACCTGCGTGAAAGAACAAGCTGAATATCCCCTCCTTGTTATTTGAAGCTCTGAAATACTGCAATGAATTTTTTTGTTCACTATATTAGCATACTCTTATAAAAAAATTAACACACAAAAGCCATGGCTTTGTGGCTGCATGAAGTTTAGATATTGCCTCTGACTATCTAAAGAAACACAAATCCCTGATTTTCCCCTCCTCAATTTAACATTTTCATATTCTTTTGCTAAATATGCAATGTTTAATTATTTCAAATAAAGGTTTTTGGAAATAGTTTAACATGAAAAACAGCATTGTCTAATAAAAAGCATCTTTTAAATATGTTTTGTATGCAGCAAGGCCTGTTTGAAGCAGTAAATTTTGTAAAGGCTGTTAGTATTTGGAGTGATAACATAGGCTTAAAATTAACTGAAGTGATTAATAACTAATCTATTACAAACTGTTAAATCATGTAAGCATGTTTGCTGGGGGCGGGGGGAGCTAAAAGGCACAGCTGCAACAGAAGATGGTATGATGTAAGAGTGGTTCTAGGGCTACTTTGCAATGGTCCACATGCCCCAAACCTTTATCTACCTCACAAACAAGCCCCTGGGATCTTTATTAAAGGTACTGGCCATCTACATACGTCTTGTTGTAGTTGATAAACTGCATGGGTTTAGGGGGTGAAGCTCCCACAGAATGGTAGAATGAGGAAAAGCAGTGGGACACCGTCATAGCAGGATACAAAATACATGGGAAGGCCAGAACAAGTTGTGCGGGTAGGGGAGGGGCAGCATACATAAAAGAAAGCATAGACTCAAATGAAATAAAAGCCTTAAATGAAACAAACTGTGCAATAGAATCTCTTTGGATAGTAATGCCATGCTCTAATAATAACAATAGGACAGTAGGGATGTATTACCAAAGACCTACAGTACTGAGAGTGTTGAAAGTCATTGTGAAATAGATTAGAATAGCTTAGAGCAGTGGTCCCCAACCTTTTGGGGCTGCCGGGCACCCAAGGGCATGCGCCACGCACCCGGGGCCAGCACAGTGCATGTGTAGCATGCTGTCTACAGAGCGGGACTATTTCAGGATACCTGAAGTATCCTGAAATAGCTACCCCACATCTTTTGAACACCCCCACTATTTCAATATAGCTTTTCTGCTATTTTGAGACCTATTTTGGCATCCCTGTAACCTTCATTTCATGTGGTTTAAGGGATGTCTCAAAAGAGCATGTTTTTTTCAAAATGTGGTGCTGTGTAGATGCACCAAATATTGAAATAGGCAATTTCAAAATTCAATAGAAATAAAATATGCAATTTGAATAGTACAAAATGCATATCTTATTTCGAGCTTAGGGTTCTGTGTAGATGCACCCTGAGATATCAGCTGTTTCCTGAGCTGTGATTGCTTTTCTGTACATCACAACTGGAAACTAAGCATCCTGCTAGCTCAGTAATACTTAGGGGCTAAAATGCAGAGGTGGATGAGCATCTCTGTGACCTAATGCATGCGTACATGCGTGTGTGCCCCATCTCAATGCTTCCTTTGCTGGAATCCTCAGCTCTGCTTCCTCATCTCTTGGCTTTATTATTCCATCTTCCTTCTCCATGGCCAGCTCATGTTCCCATTCCCCAGACAGATGAGACCCAACCCTTCACACACACCATACTGGTTCAGCCAGTGCCACAAATTTCTCCAAACTTCCCCTGAGAGCAAAGGGGGCTCTCTCCTTCATCACCTGCTATGAATACCCATGGGAGAAATTCTGCCTCAGTAACACCTGGGCAACCCCTGGTCTTCACATTTCTTCTGAGCTATGCTTGCACCTTTCTACTGACTGCAAATGGCAGTAAGGGAACTGGTTGGCCCTGCAACTAGAGCTTAGGTCAAGATTCTCTCCAATGCAGGAAATGGCATAGGAAATGTCAGAACTTCCCTGGGATTGTCTCATCAGGGCAGGCTCTGACTCTGGCCTGCACAACTGAGCAGGTCCATGTGATGCACAGATCTTCACAGCTCACAGGCACTAGGGCTGTTCCCAGAGAGACCTTATGTCCCTTCTCATTTCTGAGGTCCTGCTAGTCCCTCCTTGGCACCAATTACTGGGGATGGCTCTGGATCTATTTTAAGCTTGAGACAATCCTGCAATCTGATCCCAAAATGGGCGAAGGGAGAAGTCTAAGTTACCAAGAAAAAGGCCACAAGCAACTGATCAGAACCATGACAATTTATTTATAACATTCATCGTATGGTGCTGAGGGGTTTCCCCACTGCTATATTAACCTGCTTCACCTGGGGGATTGCTGCATGCAGAGATGATCCAACAGGTTCCAGAACACAGCTCCATCATTCATGCATTTCCCTGGTCACCCTTCGCTGGGGCTGGGGGAGGAGAGTGTGTGCAAGAGAGTTAGAGGAAGCCAGGACTCAGTGAAGGCAGTGGTGACAACAAGCTGGTATGGCTGAGTACGCCGTTGTGGCGATGTTTGGCATGCCAGGCTAGCTGTTTCTAACCATTGCAGCATACCAGAAAGGCACCTTGCTACCCCCAGCTCCTCCACAGAGCTGCCTCTCCTCCGACTCCTCTGTGCTACAGCAGCCCTGCAATGGAACAGGCCTGGGGAAGCGGGAGGCATCCTGGAGCTGACGGAGCTGCTGGGATTCTGCACCTTTCTCCTTGGGCTGCTGCCCCTCCCTGAGGGGAAAGGAGGAGACCTCCAGCACTGCACCCCCAGCATTGTCCCCCGGCAGAGCTGCAGCTGTACAGTTGGACAGAGCGGGAGGAGACACAAGTCCATGGAAAAGTAGGGTCGGCTGGAGCTTTCCTCACTTACAGGAACAGAGCAGGAAAAGTAGCAGAACTGCTGGCAGCTCCTCCAACTGTTGCACTGCCCCCAATAATGTGAGTTGGGGAGGAGTAAGGAAGGGAAGAGCATGGGCTGGGTAGGGCACAGTCATGGGGGTGAGATGGGGAGGTCATGTGCCCCTCTATACAGGGAAGAAATCAATTTTACATTCATCCCTAAGGGGAATTGCTCCCTCCTGGGGTCACTGCGAGCATAGGAGCCACACCGCGACTGTCCTGACAGCCAAGGCTTCTCTTCCACAGCGGCCAGTGGCATCCCTGGAATATTCAGAGCTGCATCCCTGACCCCTTTCCAGCCACGTCCAGTCACCCCAGCCCAGCTGATGGCTTTTCATTCATCTGTTTTGCTCTGCAGCCTGTATAAAAGCAGCCTGGTGAGAAGAGGAATCCCCATCATGAGTTTTGAAAGGACTTGCACTTGCTATGCCCTACAGATAGGCACAGAAAGAAGCAGAGACCCTTATAGCGGAGGGGAAAAACTTGTCAGGCTGCGGAGTCAGTGTCGCTTCCCACCTGGCACTAGCAAAGCGCCTCAGGACATGGAGCAAAAGAGAACAGCAAATGTTACAGCCCTGCAGACAGGCTGGAGACAGACAGGATGGTTTCAGCTCTGTTCCTCTAACTGAGCTGATCAGGGCAATCCGAAAACCTGACAATTGTCTCTTCATGTGCTACCTTTGCTGCAGGGGGCGCCGTACTCCGCGATGGCAAATTCATCTGGAAGACACAAGGAACGGGAGATGTGGTCAGGGCTGAGACCCAGCCAGGGCTCCTCGCTCGCCCCCAGCCCTGCGGCAGAGAGCTGGCACCGCACCGGAGATCTCAGGGGAGGGGCCCTGTCTCCGAGGCACTGGGCGAGCCTCAGCTGGGCTCCGTGGGAGGAAGGCTGCAGCGCAGCAGCATCTCCAGCAGGTCTGTGCCAGGTGTCCCCTGGCCCTTCGCACAGCTTGTCTGACGCACGCCAGCAGGGCTGCCAGCAGGCTCTGGTTTGTCACCTGCTTTCCTACCTGGGGAGGCTGAGGAGCAAGTGTGCCTGCCTCAGGTCACACGCAGAGCTGGGAGCCCAGGGCAGGATCTGAACCCGGGATCCTCCCAGTTCCCTTTGGCTCTCATGTACCTGGGCTGGCACCTTCTCTGTGCTGTGCGGGAGGGCTCTGGGACCTCGCCCACTGCCAGGGTGCGAGCATGAGGCCAGAGGAGGATGCGCCCTTGCCCATAATCCCTGTGCGCCCCACATGCTCACTGGGGAGAGGGGAGATCCTCTGTCCCATATGCCAGCAGGCTGATTGTGGTACTGAATGTGACTGTTCCCTCCCTGTGACAGGCCCATGGGGCTGACGTCGCCCCAGCCCTGCCCCCACACACCCGTCTCGTAGTAATCGTAGACTTTCACCAGCGCCGGCTTCAGACTCTGCACAGGGAAGTCCTGCTCCACTGCGAAGGAGAAGCTCTGAGTCACGTTGCTCACCTGAGGTGGGGAGAAACAGATGAGGCTCAAAGTCAACTCTTAGGCACCTCTCCCCTCTCTTCTCCATCTCTCCATCCCTTACCCTGCAAGCCCAGCATGTCCCATCCCCGGCCAAGCTGCAGGGCCTGGCAGGGATTGACCTGAGAGAGGAGGAAGAACCCAGGGCTGGGGGGAGAACAGGGCCCTGGCTCTTTATGTTGGGGGAAGTTGCAGGAAGTGCAGCACAGAAATGCTGAGGGATGGTGGGGCAGCAGCAGTTGCGGGGACCACTTGGGTTTGTTAATCCATGGCCTGGCCGTTCCCCCCCTTCAGTGCCTCTATCAAAGGTTTGTCGGGGGTGACTCTTCCCACCCCATTCCAGCCCTGGGTGGCTGCTCACCTGCTCCATGTACAGCAGCACGTGGTTGGCGCTCAGTTCTGTGTGGAAAGCCCCGGGTGGGGAGCGGCAGTACCCCAGAGGGGCAGCGACGCGGTGGAACACACCCGCGGGGACAGGAGACCGGCCGGGATGACGTCCATAGTGATGTCACCAGTGCGATGCCGGGGGTCGTCGCAGGGTGATGATGCCGGCGGGAGCGTCATCCCCCCGCGCCCGGCGGGGACTTTAAAAGTGGACTCCGGACCGAAGGAAGGGACAGATCCCCAGGGAACTGGAGCACAGCAGCAGGGACCAGACGGATCCGAATACTCGAGACCCTGGGTGAGTTTTAACCCGGGGACCCCGGACTAGCGTCAGCTCGCGGCTGGGGAAGAATTGACCCAGGGCGGGGGCGTGGACCCTGAGAGCGGGGGAGTTTAGGGGTCTCGACCCCCTCTGCTAGGACATGCATCCTGACCTTAGGGCCCTGGGGTCGGGGTTCGGAGCGAGGGCAACCGGGCACGCTGTGATTATTGTGAGGCTATATAACTTAATAAATCATAAGACACCTAGCACGTCTAGAAGGGTGTATTGCCTGGGGAGTTGGGGACACGGACACGAGTGATCCCCTACACCACCCCATTCCAGCCCTGGGTAGCTGCTCACCTGCTCCATGTACAGCAGCACGTGGTTGGCGCTGAGTTCTGTGCGGTGGATATGGTGCTGTCCTTCCAGCTGCCAGGGGCCAAGGGAGAGAAGAAGGATGTTACTGATCTCCCTTTGGACCACCCAAGATGCTGAAGTAATCTCAGAATTGTTCACAAGTAACTTTTAGGTCTTCCGGAAAGTGGGTGTTGGCCCCCAGGGATTGGGCAAACAGAGCAACTATCTTTAAAATGTACTCACCTGCTCCCGGTTTGTCGCCATATTATAGGGGACCCATCTTGTGCGGTGAATCTGGTTCTCTCTCTCCAACTGCCAGTGGCCAAGGGAGAGAAGCAAAATGTTACTGGATCCCCCTTGGACCACTCAGAGCACTAAGGAATGGAACGTTTGCACAAAGTCGTAGATTCTGAGACCAGAAGGGACCATTATGATAATCTGGAATCTCAGAGGCATTGCCTGTCCCAAACTGAGAGCACCCAGCAGCTCTGGAATTAGCCTCCCTCCCCACCCAGGCACTGCCCCACCAAATATAGAGTTCAAACTACACCTGTATGTACAACGCTAGCCAGAGAACTTCCCCAAAAGAATTCCTAGAGAACTTTTAGACAAACATTGTGTCTTGATTTATAAATGGCAGCGATAGAGAATCCTCCAGGACCTTTTTCCCCTTGCACTGTAAGAAAGAGAAGTATGTGGAACCACCTAGCTGGTAGACTGAGATGGAACATTCATCAGAGAGGCAGGGCCCCATTCAAAGTCTGTACCAGTCCCAGTATTTTCAACCTTTTAGTTCTCCCTCATGCTCTAGCCCTTAGACCATCAGTTCCCAAGCTGGGAGAAGGGGGGCATCAAGAACTACTAAGGGGAGCGGTAGGCTGAGAAATTTTCATAACTAAAAACAAATTATCAAATTTTTATCGTTTTTAATTTTCAAATTCCATGCCACTAAATGTGATTATTTTTTTCCTTTCGACCTGTATGGGTACCGGTTCAGTCAGTGGGGAGGCCAACGAATGATGTCGAAGGTGATGGAACTTTTTTGAACTTTCTAGCACGTTCATGTTTTGGACTGTTCTATTGTGGGAGTAGGTAGCCGGTCTTGCACAGTGACTGGTCGTGGGGTATATATAAGGCAGCATGTATCCGTATGTAATAGTAGTAGTAAATAAACGTTTGTGATAACTTATTAATTTAAAAAAAATCTATAAAAATAATTTTCCTAATTTGAATAAATTTAATATATTATAGCCACAATTAAGAAAAGGAAGTAAGATGAAGACTACATTAAGTATGGCTTCACTGTCATAGAAGAAAACCATCAATCATCCTGAATGTGTAGTATGCCACACAGTTCTCAGCAATGATAACTTGAGACCTAGTCTTCTTGAGTGACAGTTCACAAACAATCACAGCTCTTTGACAGACAAACCAAAAGAGTTTTTTTCTGCTAAACTTCAAAATTTGAAACGCATGAAGCTGGACACTTACTGGAGCTTTTTACCAAGCGTTGGCCAAAGTGGTAGAAACGTCTTATGAACGGTCATTGCTCATCGCTAAAGCCAAAAAAGCACACATAATAAGAGAAACTCTGGTGAAGCCTTGCTGGTTGAAAGCAGCTGATATTGTGATTGGTGTCGAAAGAAAGAAAAAACTAATCGGCAATTTCGCTTTCCGACAATTCCGTGAAATGTCTCACTGATGACCTGATGAAAGATCTTAAACTTCAGGTTGTGGAGTCAGTGTTGGCTTCTCCTTTTTTTCGTAATTCGCTGCAACGATACCCCTGATGTAGCATAATGCTGTCAGTTGCTCATCTACGTTCAATTCATTAACGATGGAACTGTGAAATAACTGCTTTTTTCTAAGGGAATTGACAACCACATCAAAGGCTTCTGATGTTATGAAGATGATTTCTGACTTTTTTTTGAAGAAAATAGACTTTCATGGGGAATATTGGTTGGTGCATGCACAGATGGTGCTCCAGCAATGCTTGGCTCTCACTTTGGATTTGTGACATTGGTGAAGGAAAAAAAAAACAGCTGTAACCATGACTCACTGTGTCATACAAAGACAAGCTTTGGCTATTAAAGCCCTTCCAGATAATTTACGTGACTCATTGAGTTTGGCCATCAAAGTTGTCAATTTTGTGAAGAATGGCACTTTAAATATGAGACTTTTTGCTGCTCTTTGCGTGGATTTGGGAGCAGATCATAAAACTTGTGTGTGTCACACAGAGGGTATGATGGCTTACCAAAGGTAACATGCTTTCAAGATTATTCGAACTGAAAGACGAAGTGGAATTTTTCCTCAAGCAACAGAAGAAAGAAGAGTTATATCGTGCATTTATGTACCAAAAATGTCAACTTTCACTGGCATATGTCATGGAATCTTTTGAATCTTTGAATATCAATTTGAAGCTGCAAGGAAACAATTCTGCAAACATTATAGCACATCACAATGCCATCAAAGCATGTATGGGAAAAAAACCAGCTTTGGAATCGTCGAACGCAAGCTCAGATGCCTAACTTTGTCTTTTCTGATATTTTCATCACTCACTGAAAATGAAGGTTTCCAAGAACTTTGAAAAGAGGATGCAAAGAACAAAATTGTGGTTCATCTGGACTGCCTTGCTGACTAATTCATCTGCTATTTTCCAGATAAATTCTGTAGAAACCCCATTCATAAATTAGTACGCAATCTGTTCAATGTTGCTGTTGATTCATTGCCAGAAGTATTGCAAGAACAATCAATCAAAATGAAATATGATTCAAGTGCAAAAGAATTTTGAAAACTCAAGCTTGGAGGAATTTTGGATAAAATAGTTCCCAATTTACTTGGAAGTTGGAGAAGAAGCACTACATCTTATTCTTCTATTTTCGTCAACATGCCTCTGTTAAAAAAGCTTTTCAAGTTAGTCACATTAAAAATGAAACAAAGAAATCGACTGGATGTCGAAAACGATTTGCATTGTTCACTTTCGTTCTTCAAACCTAGGATTTCTCAACTCATGAAGAAAATGCAGCAGCATCCTTCACATTAAATTTGCTTTGTTTCTGCTATTTCTTATGTTACATTACATGTTTATTAAATTTTTGTTCCAAGAAAAATTATTTGTGCTTATTTTTAATTTCAAGTAACATTTTCATACCAAGTTTTTGTGTTTATTTTTAATTTTAAATTATGAATTGAATTTTTTGTTAAAAAGGGGGTTGGATGATGGTAAAAAAAAAGAGGTGGGGAAGAGTGAGGGTTTCTCAAAAATCAAAAAGGGGGTGCGATGCTGAAAAATTTAGGAACCACTGTCTTAGACTGACTAACACTGTCTGCAACCCTTGGTCACTGCACAAGGTTTCCATAAGCCTCAGCCTCGCATCAGACCTGGAAGGAGCTGCTCTCTTCATGGCCTATCCTGCAAACTGAAAAATTAACAGGTGAAAAGATAATCTGAACTGGCCCTTATGAAAGAAGGGATGAGACGGCTCTCATGCCTTTCTGGACTCCAGTGGGAAAAACAAGAAGGGATCAGAGAAACAGGAGGCATGGGGGGGGGCCCTAAGGCTGGAGATGAGACCAGGCTTCACGCCCACTGTGAGGAGTCAGGGATTGGAGTGCACTGGTACCTAGATATGCCTAGATAGACCTGAGGTGCTGGGGCCCATACACAGAACGGGCTGTTACCTTTTTCACTGAGGGTTTCACAGGGATGAATCCTGACAGCATCTTAACGTCGACGATGACCATGTTGGAGACGGGACGTTTCCCTGTGTAGCTGGGAGACCAAGTGGGGAAGGAAAAAAGATTCAATATACGTGAACACAGAGCCGAGACACCTCAACTCTGTTTGGCACAGGTGGAGGCTCCTCCTGACACGCAGCATCTCCCACCACACCTGCAAGATCCTGGAATGATTCATCCCTAGCCCTAGGGCTGCTCCAGAAGGCCTGACCTGTGTGGGGAGTTACCTGATGTTTATGGCGATGCTGAAAGTCTTGTGGGCCCTGGGGCTGTCACATGTCTCGGGGACCGTGTGTACTTCCAGTGCGAATGGCGCCTCGTCCGGCTTGGGGAGCACATTGTACCTGAGGCTGGTCTGGAAGAGAATGCATGTGGGAGGGTGCGTGCTTGTCTGTGTGTCATCCCTTCTCTGGTTATTTCTCCTGCCTCCCAACTCATTTTCTTCTTTATCTTTGGTTTCTTTTTGCCCCTCTCACTAGCGCCCCTTTCCCCATTCTCTCTCCTCTCACGTTTTGCTATTTCCTCATCCCAATCGCTTTCTCCCCTGCTTCCCCTCCCCAAACCACCCCACCCTGCTGTCTCCATGGTATGAGATTGGCTCCCCTCAGCAGCAGCCTCTCCCCCTGCTCCAGGGCCTCTCACCTGCACGTAGACACACCCTTCTCCTGTCACCCCCATGCTGTAGTCCCCTGGCACCTCTGGCAGTGCCACACGCTGGAGCAGAAGACGGTTGGTGTGATCCACCTGGAAGTGGGTCTGGAAGTTCCCTGTGGATTGCAGGGTCACTGTGGAGGCTCCTCCGCTCTTGGCGTAGGTCGAGGCTCCGTATTTGGACAAGGCCTGGAGCGCCACCACCGTGTCCTGCCAGAGAGGAGATGGGCCCAGGCAACCGAGGGGATGAATTAGTCTTTTCCATGGGCCTGGAGTCCCTATCCCACCAGCACACAAATGCACACATTTGCATGCACACAGCAGTGCCCTGTTCAGGGGCAGAAGGGAGACAAAAATCTCAGCCTTCCCATTTCTACCCATTCTCTCCCCTCACCAGCACACACCATGCTCCCTGTTCCTTTGGCCTTAGAACATAAGAACGGCCACACTGGGTCAGACCAATGGTCCATCCAGCCCAGGATCCTGTCTGCCAACAGTGGCCAATGCCAGATGCCTGAGAGGGAGGGAACAGAACAGCTAATCCTCATGTGATCCCTCCCCTGTCACCCACCTCCAGAGAAACAGAGGCTACGGACACCATTCCTACCCATCCTGGCTAGAACCTCCAAGGTATTTAGTCCACCTGTCTCCCACTGAAAGCAGCCATGGGTCTAAATATTGTAGGGCAGTGGTCCCCAACGCAGTGCCCACGGGCACCATGGCACCCTCCGGGGCATTTATATGCACCCGCCAAGTGATCAGGGCCGGCTCTGCTGCGGGGCGCATGCGTGGTGCCGGCCCCAGGTGCGTGGCACATGGGCAGCCTCTGCCCCAGGTCACACAGTGCGTGCGCGGCCCATCCCAGGCATGCTGCACATTATCTGTACTGGCCCCAGGTGCGTGGCGCGTGCGCCGCCCTGCCCCTAGGCGCCCGGCAGCCCCAAAAGGTTGGGGACCACTACTATAGGGAACCTTAGGTCTCTGGTATCCCTCACATGCCATTGAAAGGAGCTGCAGGAAGATGTCACCCAGCCTCTACTGAAGGAGGAACCTAGAAGGATAGCTCAGAACAGGTCACAAACAGACATCACCAACATGCCGCTCCAGCAAGGAAAGAGAAATAAATACAACCCTATGCTAACCACATCCCTGCCTGAAGCAGAGTCCTTTTAAGGGCAACACTTCATGTGCACTCTTCAGGAAGGGTGCATTTGGGGCTGCCTTTAATTATGTGAAAAATTTAAAAAACAACAGTCTGGTAACACCCTAAAGACTAACAGAACATGTAGATGGTGTCATGAGCTTTTTTGGGCACAGCTCACTTCTTCAGATGACCAGAGTGTAGGAAATCCAGATCCAAGAATAAATAAGGGAAGGAGGGGGGCAAGGAGAAGGAAAAATGGAGGGTAGGAAGAAGAGACAGTGAATAGATAAGTTTCAAAGGCATAGCGGTGAGTCTGTAACAGGAAAGACTTAAAAAAGAAGAAATATTCCAGTAGCACCTTAAAGACTAAATAGTTACAAGAGGCTGATAAGAACCTCTGCCCTCTTCTTGCACCCATATCTCCTCCCAGATCTGGCACCCCAGTTCCCTGCTCCAAATCACAGTCCCCTCCTGCCCTAGTTCACAACTCAAATCTCTGCTCTATGTCATAACCTAACCCTCTGCATCCCAGTCCAGTGCCCCAGGTCACAACTGCCTCCTTCACCCAAACCCCCTCCTTTACCCCAGCTCCCTTCTGCACCCAACCTCCATGCCAGACCCTGCATCTCCTCCATTAATATCATGGAAGAGTGCAGCCACCGACCTCCTTCCAAATTCTTGGAGAGACCCCTCCCCCCATCAAAAATTATTGTCTACTCCAGCCAATGCGTTAAGAATGTAGGTGTATTCTTATTGGCTGTGTCTAGACTACATTCCTCTTTCGACAGAGGGATGTAAATTAGACACTTCAAAATTGCAAATGAAGCAGGGATTTCAATATCCCACACTTCATTTGCAAATTCGCGTCATGGCGCTCTTTCGAAAAAGCACCATTTTCAAAGTAAAACTGCAGTCTAGATGTGGTTCTTTCGAAAACGGCAGGCTTTTTCAAAAAAGAGCCTGTACAAGATCCAATCTGGGAGTGTTAGAAAGGCCATCCAATCTATCTCCATCAGAGAAAGGGAAGAGCCTAGAACAGGGATGGGGAACCTCAGGCCTGAGGGCTGGATGTGGCCCCTGAGGCTCAACACGCCCCTCTCCCCCACACAGCATTGGGCTGGAGAACACAAAATATACTAGGCTAGGCCCTGCTAGGCTCTGGTGTATGAGAGGAATATGCAGAGAGTCTCTCTCCTCTATTGGGGGGCCACCTCAGTGAGGGTTTGGCTTTTTTGTTTCTCACTTATGTGCCCCCCCCTCCCCAACTGATTGTTCTGTGGGTCAGAGGCCCTCGACCCAAAAAAGTTTCCCCACCCCCAGCCTAGAAGATTTAAAGCAAATGGAGGTGGCTAGCTTGCTGTCTGGCAAGGACCCACTTAACCCACTTGGGGTTGTGAAATGCTCATTATGGTCCTCGCCCACTTTCCCACTGTTTCTCTGTAGGATCTGTCGGGTTCTTTGAAAGTTTCTTTTTGCTGTGTAATTTACGTTGCTGAGTGTAAACCAATTGTGGTGGTGGGACCTAGATAGCCATGGCACAGTAAGTTAGGGTTGGTTAGTTACATTTCAGTAAAATGACTGGTAAAGGTATAGCTGCGAATATTACTAGATATCTTGTGGGCAGACACAAGGCAGGGCACAGGGGTACTAAGGAAAGGAAACTGGATTCATGTTTTCCAGAAGCAATATATATCGACAGTGGGGTCAACAACCACTGTGGGCTCCAGTGCAAGGTGTAGACTGGGACAGCTCCTCCCCCTGGAAGAGGCGGGGCCTCAAGTAAAAGCAGCAGGGCCATCGCAGCCAGCCCTAGGCACTGCGTAGACCATGGCATTCTACCCCCCAGCCTTCAGAGCTGCCTGGCCATTTCAATGCTCCGGCAGCAATTCAAAGGAGCAGGGGCTGCTGCTGTGGCAGTGGTGGCAGTTGGAGCTCCAGGCCCCTTTGAATTGCCAAGTCCCAGGCTACTGCCTCCTTTGCCTCCCCCCATCAGCAGGCCTGAACATGAAACTGTTTGCTTCTCTGGACTTGGGGTATTGCTGCTCTCTGCTCACGTGAGACAGACAGGGAGGTGGGAGGGTGAAGGCTTAGGCCCTCTCACAGCTACCTCATTAGCCCCCCAGGACCTGAGGGATCTGATGTGACCGTGCTCCATGCTGTGATGATCCCGTAAGCTAAACCCCTTTAGAAACAGAGGTTCTCTAAACGGGCACTGCCCCCCCACTCCCTCCTCTTCCAATCCTGGGAAATATGGGACTTCTTTGTCAGTCTGACGTACGTGCCTGTCACCCCTTCCTGCCCTTGGTGCCTGGGCTGGGGAGGGGAACGGCTCACCTGGGTGGAGGAAAAGCCCCCGTTGGGATTCTGCTGTTTGCTGATCCACTTTGTGATTTGAGCTGCCGACGACAGGTCATCCCGGGACAGTTCCGGCCGCACGGTGAGGTAAGCCAGGAGCACGTAGGACGTCATCTCCACCTCAGCAGAGGGAGCCCGGGGGTGATAGAAGGGGAGATTGGCCTCTGGCTGCTTCCCAGGCCTCTGCCAGTGAACGGAGCCGTCTGCAGCGGGAGAAGGGAGAGGGAGGCAGGGGAGAAGAAATGTTTATTAAAGAATATCGGCTGTTGCCAAGAGGGTTGCTGACCTACTCTGAGGATAGAGAATGGAGTCTCGATCATTGATGGGAGTGAAAATACAAAGCATGAAGATGTTAGAGTACCCCCCTGGGTGATCTGGCAGGTTGATACATTGTTGATACAGTGATCTCAGAGACTAATAAGGTTGCCATACCTGTGCATATTTCTTCCCCATTCATGAGGCCAGATCCCAGGAATGGCCAGTACAGGTTGGACCACCCTTGGGATCTGACCAGTCCCAGAGGAGGGATTTTGCTGGAGCAAGGGAGGTGATACCTGGCTTCTCTGGTACCAGCACCAGCCAGCCCTGGACCAGCTGCCAGCCTCCTGGCCAACTCCCCCTTGCCACCAGCCTCCCTGCCCTGCCAGTCCCCCCATCTCCTTCCCTGCTATGCCGGGCAGCCCAGCTCCCTGTGCCCCAGGCTCCTGGCCCCTCTGGGCAGCCCCACTGTGTTATGCCTGGCTGACCAGATGCAGTGCGCCAGGCATCCCAGCTGAAGGGAGCCCAGCCTCCAGGCCCACACCAGGACTCTCTGGTCCTGGAATATCTGTGGTCCTACTGGACAATGGATTTTGCCATTCCAGGGAATCCTGGATTCCAGAGGTTCAACCTGTACCAGGGTTTTAAAACTCATTGATCTAAAATGCGTGAAGTGGCTAAAAAAAATCCCAGTTTGCCACAGCAGAGATTGCAGGGTTATAGTAACAACCATCAAAGCCCTCTCCAGGCAAGCTGTGCAGGCCCCGCAGGCTGGGTCAGGAGAGGGGCCCATCATGAGGTCTCACCTTCTTTCACTGCTTCCTTGTCCAGCGAGTCCAGCAGGGCCCTGCGCTTCTCCTCCTTCCCCGCCAGGGCGAAGGCGTAGGCCAGCAGTGCCCTGGTGTACACGTGGGTTCCTCCCTGCTCCATGGCCATCTCCAGGCAGAAGAGAGCATTGCGGACCACAGAGTGCTGCAGGGGAGAGAGGTGGGGGAGACGGCATTTGCAATGCAACAGTACAAGCCATGGCCACAGGCTATGGCTGGTTTTATAAAGAGGTGCAATGAAGTCCAATAGAATGCAGATGCTGGAGCTGGGATGAGTGATGTTTGACACTCATCATTTCCATGGTCCCAGTGAACTCAAATGTCTCAGTCATTTAGTCACTTCTTCGCTGTGGGCCACTGAGCACAGAAATGTGTCTTACATGGGTCTAGATGAGAAAGCCCCCTCCCCAGAAAAGCTACAGCATTGGTCTTGTCTTCTATGGGGTCCACTAGTATTCAACCCCTCCCAGGCATTCAGCCCATTGAAGGTCTGGCTAGATCCCCAGTTGGTTTACCAATATTATATAAACCAAGCAGGAAATAACAAAGAAGGGAGTTGCCCTGCTGTCAGGCTGACCAGCTTCCCTCAAGACAGACCCATCCGAGCTGCAGCCAGACACACAGGAGACAGTTACCAAGTACTATAGATCTTTTGACATGACTTCTAGATTCTTTATCTAGAAGAAAAGAGGTGGTGGAATCTCCATCCCTGGAGATTTTTAAGTCCCAGGCTGGGATGATTTAGTTGGGATTGGTCCTGCTTTGAGCAGGGGGTTGGATTCGATGACCTCCTGAAGTGTCTTCTAGCTCTAGGATTCTGTGATTTTTATCTTTTTTCTAATATGCACAACAGGAAAAAGAAGGGGAGAGCCAATCAAAGCAGCACAGATGGGCCAGAACCAATACCACACACCTAGATGCTTCCACAATCCTGAGAACCAACTCATTCGGGAGCCAGAGTCCACACCTTTCCAAACTGCTTTTTCCCTCCTTTCCTGAGAGGTCTTGCTCACAGCAAAGGGATGATGCTCTCTGGACTTAGCTGGATATAGGAGTGAGGGAGAAGGAGGCTGCTGACCTTGGGGCATTTGTATAGGGGACATTGCATGAGGGGGTACGTACCGTGATGGGCAGAGGAATCTCCAGCAGCGCGATGGTGATGTAGGCTGAGAGCGTAACCTCATCGTCCACCCCGCCCTGCAGAGAACCAGAGAGACGCATTAGCCCCATGTGGCACCCTAACCCTGCCCCTCCTTTCCTTGCCCCATAATAGGCCCCACTTACAGCACAGTATCTGCCCCTCTATATCTCCATAATAGCTCCCAGGCCAAGTCATCCCCAGCTCTTCCCACCCTGGCGCCATGTGCTGAAGTGTCTGAGCTGCTCCCATGCAGCTTGCTGGGAAACCTGATGGGTGCTTGCTGGGAAACCATCTAGTCACATATGTCACCTTGATGGCGTTGTTCAGCAGCATCCCAGAGCTATGGAAGCAGCCGTTTTCCTTCTGTTTGCCAGCGAGCCAGGCCAGGGCATCCTGCACGTGCCTCTCCTCGATGAAGATGTGGGAGCGGGCCTGCGCGAAGGACTTGAGGACGAAGGCCGTCAGCCTGCACAGAGATCAGCCGCGGTGAGAGCCCCTCCCACGCCCTGTGCTCGCTGGCGGGGATGGAGGCCCAGGGCAGCACCAGCCTGGGGGGATGTAGCAGGGGCTGGAGAGCTGGTGGTCTGGGGCACAGAGCAGGAATACATTGCCTCCACCATTACACACCTCCACAGATTGCCTCACCTTGATTTCAGGATCCAGTTCCAGCTCTCTCCCTGTTTACAAACCCTTCCCTTCTCACAGCCGGTTTGGGGCCTCTCCATACTAGATTCAGCTACTAGAGCAGAGGATTGTAGGGTTGCATATGTAGAATCTATATTTAAACAGGCCTCCATGGGAGAGCCAATTTGCCTATACTTGGTGAACTAGTCAAAATTACAATTAAAAGTAGAATAGTAAAAGATGCAAAAAATAATGACCTGAGGGGACCTAGCCATCACGGGGTCTGATCTGAGAATTCCCTGAACATCTCAGTAATGCACTGAAACAGAACGGGTTGACATCAGAGACTACTACAGAAATTAAGACAGACCCTCTCATAAAGTCTTTTGGAAAGTCTACTCAACCGAACAATGACAGGGTGAGAGTTGTCATGGGTCAGGAATTGGTTCAGGAACAGAAAACAAAGAATGGGATTAAATGTTCGATTTTCATCAGAGCAGAAGGCTAACAGTGGGATGTTGCAAGGTTTAGTACAAGGACTGGTGCTATTTAACACACCTCTTAATGAGGCTGATAAGGGGTGATTGCTGACACAGCAGCCCCCTTGGCCTATCTGGCACCAGGCTGCTCTCTACATCTAAGCCAGTGTTGCCATTCTGGATACAACAGTCTGCTCCTCTGCAGCTCCCCTGGATCCATCCAGCTTTTTTCAAACACGATCTAAACCCATCCCATTCCTGTTGCCTCTTCAGTTGTCTCCCTCCTTGGGGCCAGCGGGATCAGATGATCTATATCAGCAGCACTCAAACTGTGGGTTGCAGCTCAGCACTGGGCCCTGAAATGCCAGGCACTGTGGCTCCTGGCTGCAGACGGATCAGGTGACCAGTAAGAGAGCTAAGGCAGCTGCCTGCCTGTCCTGGCACCACAGACTGTGGAGCAGGCTTAGTCCCTAGGTGGGAGTTGGGTAGAGCGCACAGGGCTCCACGCACTGTCCCTGCCCTGAGCAGCTCCTCACTCCCATTGGCTGAGAACCTGCTGCTGGCTTCCTCTGAGGGCAGCAGGATCTGCGGTGCCAGGAGAGGCAGGAAGCTGCCTTTGTCCCCTGCTGCACTGCTGCCCGGGAGCTGCTCGAGGTCAGCCCCTCCCGCAAAGCCAGAGCCCTCTGCTATACCCCAATGCTCTCATCCTCAGCCCCACCCCAGAGTCCATACTGCAGTCAAATTATGAGGGGTCCTGGGCTTTCTTTAACTGGGTCATGAGAAAAAAAGTTTGAAAATCCCTGCTCTATATACACCGCAGACAGATGAAGCCTGTTCTCTTTGCTGGGAAGGCTCCAGGGATTGCTCAGGCATTTAACAGCATCACTAGTTGACTGACATTTAGCATTTCCTTTATAGCAATATACCAGAAGAGGTTGAGGTGTGATGGCACAGAAATCTCACCAGGTATTCCCCGGCTGCTTGTGGTACTCCCCAAATGTGCTGTAAGAGCCATCCATGTGCTTGTAATTCAACTGCCTCTGATAACCTGAAATGGAGAATTAAAGTTAAAAAACCAGTAGAGGGGGAGAAAGCAGAACAGCTGCTCAGTCAGTAAAGATTCTCCTAGTTACAGGAGCAACCTGCCATATACTGGCCAGCAGAGATCACTAGTGCGTGCACACACGTGCACACTCACACATCTCCATCCCACGAGCTCATCAGCAGAGGGAACTAACACCACACGGGGGGAGCACCACACAATCTGGCTAATTAGAGCATCCAGGCTGAGAAACCATTTCACATGGCTACAGTGTGCAGCATTTCCATACTATAGGGGTGTGTGACAGGGCGTACAGACCCTGCACTGGGGCTGCAAGGGTTAAGCTGGCTACCTGGCTGAGAAGGCCCTGCCCCCACAGCCCTGCTGGGCATGCTCCATTTGGAGGCTGGCTATAAAGGCCTGTGGGGCAGCTCAGTCTGAGTTGTCTGCGGGGGTGGACGAGCAGTGCTGGTGCTGCAGCAGCACCCAGATACTGATGCTAGTAGGGTTCAGATAGTCAAAACAAAAATACAGAACACCTCTCCCCCCTTCCCCCCTTCCCCCCTCAAAAAATTAGGAAAAAATTCTGTTGAAGGGAAAAAAAGGGGAAGAGACCAAAGTTGTTGAGCAAAAAAAAAGGGGGGGGAGGGAGGGCTCCAAGTAAGCCAAAAAAAATTAAAATAAAACAGCATTAAAACAGCATGTCCCCTTTACGTGCAGGGATAGGAACAGGGGAGCGGTTTAGCGCTGAGACCCAGAGGAAGCATTGCTTCCCTAGGTCTTTTGACCAGCAGCCATTTTGTGCGGGCAGCCTTGGGGAACCAGGTCAGCATGGGGGAACTGGGGGTGTTGGGAGCCAGGGGAGACTTGGGGAGGGGAGGCCAGGCACTGAGTGTTTGTAGGGGTGCCAGGTGCCCGGCATTTTCGCCTCCTGGTCAGGGAAAAATTCAGAAAATACCGGGCATCTCAGGTGTCCGGTATGCTCTGAATTTTTTTTACTGGGCAGGAGCCGAAAATACTGGACTGTCTGGATGGATACCAGAGACCTGGCAACCCTAGGCAGGGAACGGCAGTGGAAGCCCCCAGGCTGGATGGAGCAGACAGCAAGGGAGACTGGTAGGAAGTAGCCCAGGATGGGGAGTTGAATCCCAGGGTGCTCGGCATGTTTCGGCTGGATTCCCCAGCTAGTGGTGATCCACTGCACCACTTACAGGGCCCTGGGCTGGGACCCAGTGGAGAGGGCAGACCTGGGTCCCCCTATTCCCTCTGCACCAACTCCACAAGGGGCTGTAACTGTCCCTGTATTAGGGTATGTCTACACTACCCCCCTAGTCTGAACTAGGGGGGGTAATGTAGTCATACGGAGTTGCAAATGAAGCCCGGGATTTGAATTTCCCGGGCTTCCTTTGCATAAAGCCGGCCGGTGCCATTTTTAAATGCTGCCAGGTCGGACCCCGTGCCGTGCGTGGAACGAGATGTACAGCTAGTTCAGATTAGGAAGCCTAATCTGAACTATCTAGTCCGTGCCACGTGTAGCCGCGCGGCACGGGGTCCGACCTAGCCAGCATTTCAAAATGGCGCCGGCCGGCTTTATGCAAATGAAGCCCGGGAAATTCAAATCCCGGGCTTCATTTGCAACTCCGTATGACTACATTACCCGCCCTAGTTTGAACTAGGGGGGGAGTGTAGACATACCCATACAGTTTTGTTGACCCTGGCTGCTGGGCCATGCTTCCTGGTGTGCAGAGAGCTGCACCATTGACTTTGAACACACATGGGGGTGGGCTAAAAGGGAGGGGCTTAGATTCCTGACACCCCTTCCTGAGGGGAACAGGTGGGCTTGCCCCGTGACAAGGTGACTCCGCCAGTTGCTCTCATGGGCCAATGAGTCTGTGTAACCATAGTGCTCAGACAGTTGGCAAGAGCAAGCCAAGTGTGTGGTGAACCGAGACCCCACTCCCTAGATACACAAGCCACTCCATCTATATTCAGCTGCGGGAAACTCTCTCTGCAGGTCAGGCAGATACAGAAAGCTCCAGCACAACCTTGGAAGGGAGCAGGGAAGAAACAAAAGCCCCATCTCGCCTCACCGCTGACTAAGTAGCCGATGGCCTTGGATTTGGTCTCCTCGCTCAGCTGCCCCGTCTTGTTCAGATAGTCCAGGACGTAGATGTTGGGGGCAAACAGGACCATGTTCTGCTCCCCGCAGCCGAAGGGCATCTGGAGGAGCTGCTGCAGGTTCTGCATGGCCGTGCCCAGGATATCGCCTGGGGATGAACCAGAGAACCAGTGTCACATAGAGTGGGCCAAAGGAGAGAGAATGCTGCAGAGCACAGGCAGTAACAGGTGCGAGAGAAGGACAGACGGGGAAAGGACAGAGTCCTGTCCTGAGAGACGAAACACGGAGAATGGGGAAAAGGAAGAGTAGAGAGACAGCTGGGATAGGGATTGGGATGCTGAGAAAGCAAGGCCAACACACGAGGTGATTGATAAAGGGAGGTTGGGGAAAGAACAGGAAAAGGAAAGAGCCTGAAGAACTGAATGGGGAGACGATGGGGACACCGAGGAAGGGAGTGAGTCACTGACCAGGTGGAAAGGCTGGCATGGCAGGCAGGCAAGCTGTAGTGGCTGCACTTGCCAGGACAGGTCCTTTTTGATTTGCTGCACTCACCCAGCACTGTCACATGGGCTCTGGCTGAGCCCTGTACCACGTTCGGAGGGAGCTTCAGGGAAATCTTCCCTGCTTCTGCACTTCCTGAGGGAAAAGTCAGACAGACAGAATTCAATAGAATTCCCCATGCTCAGCAGAGAGGTTGCCTTCCACCTATCCCCTGCATCGGGAATTCCTGCCTCTGCCTTCAGCAGTTCTAAATTGTCCCCTTGACTTGGGGTCCTCTGACCAAGGGGAAAAACCTCAGCCCTTTCTATGGAGTGAAGTGCCACCGTGTGGCCAGATGGGAAACTGTAGTCTCCAGTTCTTTGGCCGTCTTTGCTGGCAATTGGCAGATGGTGGAATCCAGTTTCAAATAAGGGTTTGTCTACATTGTAGTGCTATTTTGAGATATTTCTGGTATCCTGAAATAGCGTATTCTGCGAAATACCTTTATCTTTCAAAAGAACAGGTGTGCTATTCTGACACCCCTGTAAACCTTGTTCTATGAGGAGTAAGGGACTTTTTGGAACAACACTCCATTTCAAAATCTGGCATTGTGTAGGCAGTGCCAGATTTCAAAATAAGCTATTTCAAAATATACTCGAAATAAGCTACACAATTTGCATAGCTCAAATTGTGTAGCTTATTTTGAGCTACGGGTGCAGTGTAGACTAACTCTAAGAAATTAGATATGGAAAAGTCCCTTTAAAACCCACTTTAGGCCTGTCCTCCAGGGCTTAGGCCAGGATTACTCACTCAGGGTATGTCTACACTACCACCCTAGTTCGAAGCCCAATCCAAACTACCTAGTCTGTGCCGCGTATAGCCATGGGGCACGGAGTCCGCACTAGCGGACATTTAAAAATGGCAGCGCCCGGCAATATGCAAATGAAGCCTGGGAAATTCAAATCCTGGGCTTCATTTGCAACTCCGGTTGCCTTCATTACCACCCTAGTTCGAACTAGGAGGGTAGTGTAGACATACCCTCAGACTATTCTAGATCTGAATGTTCCAAGCAATTTCCTCATGATTAGGAAACATGTCTTGACTCTCCACATAGAAATGCCGCTCGCTCACCCCCGCACTCCCATGCTTAGTATATCCTAACATCTCAAGTTCTCCCTACACTCTCGAGTCTGCCAATGAATCCCACCCCCTCCCTCCTTCAGCCACTGGCAAACAGGAGCAAAGAGGGCCTTACCACTTGCACAGAGCAGAGAGTTGAAGGTTGTTTCTGTCTTAATCCCTTCGGGCTAGAGAGGGAAAGGAAAATGAGAAAGGTGAGAAGCTGCAAGCAAATTGATCCTCAAGCATCAGGAACAAAATGTATGTGGGGATGTGGCTGGGGAAGGGGCAGAGAGGCTGCAGGAGAGGTGGGAAAAAGTGAGTTTCACAAAAATGGAGACAATGAATGAAGACAAAGGCCCAAGTGAGTGAATCAGGAAGAGAAATTTGTAAATTTCATGAACAAATGCTTTTAGATTAATAAAATAATACTCAGAATAAAATTAAAGTCAGCTACTAATAAGTTACTGTCTTTTCACACTTAGGGCAGCTGTATTGCATAGGTTACTTGCTAGCTGTAGCACACTGTGCAAGACGGTATCTTAATATCCCCTTAACAGAGAGGCCATGCACCATGTGTCATTGCTATCCCATGCATCTGACGAAGTGAGTCTTTGCCCACGAAAGCTTATACTCCAGTCAATCTGTTAGTCTATAAGGTGCCACAGGACTCCTCGTCTCTTTTGCTAATATCATGTGATCCAAAAATTAAAGCCAATTTAATACGTAGTGGAATATCAGCAATACTACATACTATAATGCTGCCAATTTTCTCTTCCTATTAAGGGACAACTGGGCTATACAGGGGATAAGAGAGGAAGATATGACATTATTATATTGGGTGTAGGTATCGAGAAATTGAATTAGTATTTTTTTGACGACACACAAGGAGGCTATGCAGCTTTCTGTATCATTGGTCACCGATTATCCTTTCCTACAGCAGTGAGGTATGCAGCAGTACCTGGTGCAATTTCATTTCACGGTGCCACAACATAAGCAACTGTTGCTGCCTTAGGAAAAAGCAGTTATGCAGTATTGTATGTTATGCTTATTTGGCACACTAGGGACCGGTTTGTTCTGTAAGGGAACATACATTATTATATCCTACAGTGGGTGAGAGTTTCCAAAGCACATCTAATTCCCCTAGGTGCTTTGCATCTCTCACCTATGCACTTGGATTGGACTATGCAGTAGTTTGTCACAGGTGCCCCACAACAGAGGAGGCACGGAGAGTTCTACAGTAACACTAGGTACGGTATTACCGTTCTCCAGTCCTATGCAGAGCAGTGTAGCACAGCTTGTTGCCTATCTCGCACCAAGTGAAAACTTGCCACTTCTCTATATCAGGGCCTAAGCAGCCCACATACCTCCACTAACAGCTGTTTGATCATGGTGTCCTTCTGCCCTGTCTCAGGAAGCACCGCTATCTCGTTGCCACAAAGCAGCTCTGTCTTCAGGGCCTCTGCGCTCGCTGAGAAATTCACATGCCCTGAAACAAAGAGGGATAAAGGGTTCTGCCACGCACTGCTGCTACAGGTGTGTCAGGGTTATTTCCATGGTCCTGCACTCTTCAGCACTATTGGTGACATGGAAACCTCTTTGTAGAAGGAGAGCTCCTGTCATAGCTAAGGTAGGCCTGGTCTACACTGCAAAGTTAGGATGACCCAGGGAAGCTCATGTCAAGCTAGTTGTGCATGTTTTTATACTTCAGTATGGTTTCTACTGATGCAAGTGCTCTGTTACTTTGACTTAATGACACCCCTTTCCCCCTGAGTGGCATAGAACCAAGGTTGATGTCCTTAGTTCAATGTAGTGATAGTGTACAAACTGCATTACTTATGTCGACTGGTACTGTCCTCCAGCAGCTATCCCACAATGCCCCATGCTGACTGAACACAGCTGGCCAGGGATCACAGGGACCAAAAGCCTCCCAACTTTGAAGCCCTGCAAAGTTTTGAAATTTCTTTTGCTGGGTGCCAAGATTGATGGGCACATCTAGCAACTCTCCCTTGTCAAGTGCAACTACCCGGCTAACAATGCCAGCTGCACACTCCAGCCAAGCTCCTGACTGGAAGAGACAGAAGATATTGGATCTCATGGGCCTGCGGGTACAAGAGGCTGTGCAGCCACAGCTCCAAACTAGGCATAGAAACCATGAATATTTATGAGTGGATACTATGAAGCATTACTATGAGCAGATACACAGCACTGGGATATTTTTCAGAGATATTATCTGTGCGTGAACAATATTAGCTCCCCTTCCAATGGCCAAGGCACATTCAACTGTCATTCTGCACTTTCTGGGCCTGCAGTTGAAATATCCCTTGGTGCTGTTGAGGTAGCCAGTGTACGGCTTCATGAGCCATGGAGCAAGGGTGGCTGGGTCACCTAGGATCACTACTGGAATTTTAACATTACCACTGGTAAGCCAGCACACAAGAAAGTAAGTCCCTGCTTGCAGCTTTCTGAACAATTGTGTTCTTAAAGATGCAAAGGTCATGCCCCTTCCCTGACCAGCCAATACTGATATCAGTGGTCCACCAATATTTAAATAGCCACGGAGAAGGAGCCTCTTTTGCTAATGTACTCTGAAGCAAGGTGCACTGGTGCCAAAAGAAGGCTGTGTGGGCCAGCCACCACTACACTGCAGTTTGGGAACCCTCTTGCTTCAAATCCAACCACTATGGCCTACACACTGCTGGGAACCATGGTCCTGCATAGCAGTGACAGCAATAGTCATGAAGATGTGAAAGGCAACAGCCTCTGAAATGAATGTCCTGTTTCCAAATTTATTCCTATCTGACTGGTAGCAATTTGGCATAGCACGTTTCTACATCATGATCAGCACCTGCTCCTCTGCTGTTAGTACAGCTCTCATTTTGGTGACCCTGAACACACCTAGAGCCAAGCTCCACCCACTCCCAGCTTGATCCTGCACGGCCACATGGAGAACTGGGGCAGTGGGATGTGGCCCTGGCCTGGCCCTCCTGGCAGCTGGGGAAAGCCAGGCTGCTATGCCGTGGCCCCATCCTTCATGGCAGGTGGGCTACTGTGCTGGGGTCCCTTTCCTGGGAGCCAGGCTGCCATGCCCAGGTAGAGCCGGGCTGCCACGCCGAGATTCTAGCCTTCCCCGGCAGTGGCCCCAGCCTTAGGCAACCAGGCATTAGAGTAGCCAGTTTTGAACCAGACTGTCTAGTATTTGAGCTTTCTGTTCGGGAAACAAATTGAGAAAATATAAATGGCCGGTATTTACTAAATAAGATGTAATGTCGATTGTGATGTAAAGTCAAGTGGGTCCGGTATTTTTGTTGAAACCATCTGGCAACCCTACCAGGTATGTAGGCAGTTTGGGGAACACTGTGCCTACATTACTGACTGCCCATGCTTGAACTGGTTCTCATGATGTCCCACAGCAATTTGTCCTCCAAGGAACTGTCATGTTGTTTCTTGCCATTCTGCACACACTGCAGGTTCATGGAGTCTGTGCTTGCAACACTCAAGACAATAGGGAGTGCAAGGGATTATGGGACTTTATAGGATGGAGACCATTACAAACTTGGACAGTTACTCTAAGCACTGACTCACCTTGTGCAACTCCTTTTAGCCCCATCACACAATTGCCAAAACTTCCCTAAAGACCATGTGCTGGATTGTGGTGAGTGGTGCACTATAATCTGCATCAGTACAAGCACTCCTGGAAAGTGTGCTCCATGGACACGAGGAACCAAATACGCATGCGTGCAAGTAACGTGCTAACTGTGGCAGCTGAATGCCGCCATAACTGGAGTGGACATATGCTTGTTGTGTAGACACAGCAACAGTAAGTTAGACTATGCCTGCACTGGGGTTTTTACACAGATGTAGCTGCACTAGAGTAAAACCTGAGAACAGCCCTGCTTCACTGTTGTGAAAAGTGACTCACCCCAGGGAAGCAGGGCTGTTCTCGGGGTTTGTTCTGGTGCAGCTACATCTGTGTGAAGAATCACTGTGGAGGCCTCATATTCCTTTTGATGACCTCAGAAGGCAACCACCAATTCTTGCTGGTGACTGTACTGTGACACATTCATTTAAAACCAGAGCAGGCAGCACTCATGCAAATCACAGGTTATACCAGTCAGTGCATCTACAATAAGAGTTTGTGCTAGTGCTGCTGCATCAGTGAAGCTGCAATAGTGCAAAAAATCCAGGGCAGGCAAGACATAAGGATGACTCTTCAGCAGCCTTCTCAGTCCTGGCAGTACTTGGATAAGACAGATGGGAATGCAGGGAGTAACGGCTCGGATTTCTGAGTGAGGACAATGGTCTGTGTTAGATTAAAAGATCATTTTAGTCCCTTGAGGCCTTATAATCTAGGAATATTTTTCTATTAATAGAGCCCTGCCTGAACAGAAAAAATGGTTAATGCTTCTATTTAGCTCATCAGGGCCATCAGGGGAAGAAATAGTTAAATTCTCCAACAGATCCACACATTACTTAACACACAGACCAGATGCACTCAGCTGAGATGTTTCCCAGGAAAGGTTTTAGCCCCGTGGTCACCAACCTGTCGATCACAATCGACCGGTTGATTGCGAGGGCCCAACCAGTTGATCGCAAAGCATTCAGGCCCCCCCCCATTTTCCCCCACTCCTAAGAAGCCCCACTACCTGCCTCTAGTGACAATGGATGTAGCACCAGCTTCCTGTGGGGTGGACGGATGTCCTGCAACTGCGCGCCACTTCTGGAGTTTCAGGAAGTGCGCTGGCTGGTCCCCCTCCCCCAAAACAGCCTGCACAGTACCTGACCCAGGAACTTCCTACATGGGGAGCAGAAGATAGGAGTCCCCGGAGGAGGCACGTGGACTTCCCTCCTCTGTGGGAGAGGGGAAGGAGGAAAGAGGGAGAGGTAGGAGTTCCCAGAGGAGGCATGTGCCAGAATGTGCCTCCTCTACAAGGGGAAGGGGATAGGAGTCCCTGGAGGAGGCAAGTGCTGGGGACTCCCTGTGCAACTCTTGCGCAAAATAGTTCTTGCGCAAGCCCCCATCTGGCCGCAGCATCATAACATTCTTGTACCACCCACCCTGACCCCAGACCTGAGCCTGTCATACACTGGAACTCCCTGTCCTGTGTCTCTCTCATCCCTAGACTCCTGCACTCCCACATCCCCAGTCTTCTACCACAACACTCCTGCACCATCCACACACTGCAAATCTGTGTCTTGATCCCATGATACTCACAGCCTCCCTGCCCTGGGCCTCTCATGAACCCCAGCCCAAACTCCCGAACCCTCACAGCCACAAGCCTGTGGCTTTTTCTCGAGCCCCCAC